TATTTTTGATGCTGAGTGCTGTTGACCTCCACGCAGACTTGAGAGTAGTGAAAGCTTGTCTTCATTTGATATCCGGATCATTTCTCGAGCCGGAAACCAAAAGAAGGATGATATACTTTACCACTATCTTTAGTTAGACAAGTTGATTCCAAAGAACACCTTCTAGAACTTCAATCGATATCTCCGAATCCGATTGCATTAGCACACTCGACATATACTGAATCAAAGATCCAATATGCGCCAATCTCTGTGGACATAGTAGAAAATATTAATCCATCGCGTTGCAACAATGCCATTTAGCAGCAATACTAAAAAAGGCAATAAAGGACAATTTTTGGGGGCACTCTTCCTCTGTTCCGATTGAGCAGATCACTTAGGACCGTCTGTCTTATGGCTAAGTGTCATTCTCATGGAAGCCTTTTCCTCTTCGACATTCAAGACTCTTGATTTAAATTAGATCTGAGTATGACTAGGATTAGTAAGGTTTTACATATGTAGTAGTAGTAATAATAATAATGATGACTTGCTACAGGATGGAGTTTCCTGGAGTCAGTTCTAGTGAGAAGTCGTGACTAGTGAGGTCCATCCAGATGTCAAGTGTGAGGATGGATATCCCACGGATGACATTGGTTGGTGCTAGTCGCGCTAAATCACGAATTGATAGAAGTTAGAATTCATGAGTCATTGAATCGGGTCCAAGTGGTGGCTGAATGGTATACAAGCCAGCTGGGTTCGACCCCCAGTGGTGGTGGGTGCGTACTGCGGATGATTCCAAAACTAGTGGGATGAAACAGCTGTCCTGCAGTCTTCCCTGGTTTTAAATGGTTCTCTAACTGATATCAATCCCTGATCAACTCGTAAAAATATAACTAACCCTTACAAACCAAACTATACAAAATAATAAAGTATAATAAATGACAAAAGCTCATTATATTACTAAACTAGGTGAGTAGTTAAATACGGTCGATACGTGTATTGCCAGAAAAATATCTTGCAGTGTAGTCACATCAAACGATCAAAAGAAACAATTCTCTAAACTTAAACTGTTCACTCTACTCAACTGAATATTTTTTGATAACAGATGGCCAGAGTTATAATAACAGGAAATACTGAATCTTATTGTGCTTTCAATAGCTTTCTCAACCAAAAACAAAAAATTATGGTTTTACCACTCTGAGATTTCAGCCACCACTATTAAGTAAAATATTGACAGAATACATATATGGCACTCGAGCATCAGTGGTTCACTGGGAGAATTGTCGCCTTCCACCAACGTGGTCCGGGGTTCGATTCCCCGCAGATGCATCTCAAATCGGCGTTGAAATCGGTGTTACGTGTGGCTACAATCTACACACGCGTGTAGTTTGACATAATCTATTTAGTAATGTGGAGGATTTGTACCTCATATGGATGTATGTAATTGGATAGTTTAATTGCGAAGCTTCCATTGTCCATCTAGTCAGCATTTTCAGCGTCAACTTTACAATGATAACAGAAAAGGAGTCGAAGATGATAAACACTATTCACAGTCCAGAATAAAACATTTGCATGCATTAAGCTCTTGTTTAATACTACGCAGGGGAATAACTGCGATGATTTATAGGGTAAAGACGCCTAATATCTAACTAGCTGGTTGCAACAGTTACAACTACATATAGTTACCGTTGTATTGTGCACCTCAGACATGTGCTGGACATTGTCCTCAGTTTAGTCAGTGACCGCCTCTGATCGTCTCTGATTGCCTCCAACCACCTAAACTTTTCAAGTACTGGTTTCAGTGGATTTAACTGGTTACAGGACTTCATCACAAGCCGATATCAGTTGATCGTAACGCTTTATCCCGCACTACTGAAGTATTGACTGATACTCAGCTATTTCATTATATTGCCTTATATTAGTTTTACGGATTGGGGTCGTTAGCTCCATGTCTAACCTTCCCTCTTCTCCAGGTTTATTATTATTATTTTTGTTCTTCCCTTGGGTTCCGAGTTGAACACAGGGCTTCAACAGCAGGTTCCCACTTTATCATTGTTTCTGCAGTCCCCATCAGCTGTCCCCACGATTGTCCATAGGCTCTCATCTCCTCCAAATCACACAATCTCATCCATGTTACCCAAGGGCCAATGCCCCCCCCCGTAAGTGCCACTCGAAAAATGGCCTGGCACGATGTCACCCGAAGGCCTCCTCAGGATGTGTCCGATCCATCTCCATTTTCATCAGAATATTTTTTGAGCACAGTGGGTTCTTGATTGGTTCGTTTTCAGAGTCTCTTGGTGCTAAATCGTTGTGGTCAGCTGGCCATTTGATCTTCAATGTGAAACGAAGGCAGCTGATTGTTGGAAATGCTTTTCGTAACGCGCCGAGTTCCTCATCAACATACAAGAACTGACTGACTGAGCACTGGTGTTGAAAACCCAAATATTGTTCTTTAAGATCCGATGGAGTGGAGAAGATTTCTAAACTGATTTCAGAGTGATGGAGGTGTGGCATATCTTTCTGAATCTGGCGTTGACATTTTCATCCGTTCCGCATGTATTTGAAACGATGCCTCCTAGCCGGATAAAGGAAGGAAGTTTTTTTCCTTCACGTCCCCCAGTGGAACATAGGGCTCCAAGCTAGTGGCTTGAAGTTTCTGTAGCAGTGTTTATTTTACAGGATGGGGTTGCTATCCTCACGCCCAACCTTTCCTCTTCATCAGCATTATTTCTGGCTAAGCGAGGTAAAGGAGTGCTTCGGCCGGAGATCGAACCCCGGACCATGTGTATGGTCGGCGAGCGTCCTAACCTCTATGCCACCGACGCACCTCTTTCAAATTCCTCGCGTTGATAGCGATTAGTGCGTGTGATTATTGCTGTTGGTTAGTTGGTTGATTATGTTGACCATCTCCGTCTTCTCAACGTTGGCTTAAAGTTGTGACTTTGCTTCTTCTTCTTTTTCTTCAGTCAGTTTGTTGGTTTTCACCTGTGAGTCTTCGATTTTGTGTAACATCAGGCATAAATCGCCCAGGAAGTTCAGATCTTCTACAGTCTTGTGATCTTTGATTGGACACTAGTAACTATTGTGATGTGTCTAGTCCTTTCTTTGGTGCAGACTGAATTCTATCAGTCAGTCAGGTTTGCAATGTGGCCACCATTCTAGGTAGCTTGCCATCACGGTGAACATTGGTTTGATATTAGATAGTTGGAGGCAATCGGCCACAGGAAGCCTTGACTGACCTAGGTCCCGTGCTAGTGGGCACTCACCAGTCAGCAAGGCATATCTGCAACCATCTTGAAGGAACTCATGTCCCTTCCTCTTGAGATTCGAACCCGCGTCAGAGACGTTACCACTGAGCTATTCGAGCTCGCGATTGACCTCCTGTAAGACTGTAGTGGATACCTTGATTGGACACTAGTAACTAGTGTGATGTGTCTAGTCCTTTCTTTAGTGCATACTGACGCGGGTTCGAATCTCAGAGGGGACATGAGTTCCTTCAAGGTTGCAGATACGCCTTGCTGACTGGTGAGTGCCACCTAGCACGAAACCTAGGTCCAAGGCTCCTTGCTGACTGTCTCTAACTATCTAATATCATCAAGTCTTGTTATCTGTTCAACTTATTCCTCTCTTCTCGCTTCCCAACAGTCTGACGCATAATACAGTCCACCACAGTTAAGAATATTATCAGTGATAGTAGGCTGAAAGCTTGTCTCACTCCTGTCTTCACTTCAAAGGGTTCGCTGAGTTTTTTCCCTTGTAGATCTACCTAGCACACGCCATTGTTGTATACCTGTTGAGTTCTCCAGACTTACTATTAGTTGATAAACTAGGAGGCTTCTTTTCAGAGTGCATCAGCCGGTAGTCGAACTTTCGAACCTTCCACGAGTCTTACAGGCATACCGTCATTAAAACACAGACACATCTACGCTGAGTGTGGTGAAAATTACTCAAATGAATAATAATAACAATAATAATTTTTTCATTCCTTCATGTTTCCAGTGGAATATAGGGCTGCTTCAAGCTAAAGACTTGAAGTTGCTGTAGCAGTGGTGATTATTTTTACAGGACGGGGTTGCTAGCCAGCCTCATGCCCAAACATCCCTCTTTACTAGCTTTTTATTAATGGCTTAGCGAGGCAAAGGAGTGCGTCGGTGGCTGGGGATCGAACCCTGGACCACGTCTGTCTGTCTGTCTGCATGGAATCAACATAGAACTTGGCAGTGAAGTGCAGCAGTTCCAGTTGCCACGTTTCAAATACCACACAAAGGTAGACAAGAAGATGAGTGAAGACAATCAATAGAGTTTCGACAACTATAAGAGTGAAACAGAATGAGTAATGGTAGAAGGGAATATGATGGATTACACAGACTGAATACATCTGCGTAAGCCATTGACAACGATTTTGAGCCATGTCACCTATTGTCTCCAGCCATTGATTCTTAGAGTCCCGAGAGCGGGCCCCAACCCGGAAGTCTGCATCTCCCCACCTGACTGACTCAGTTTAACTGTCAGGGATTTCATGGATTGATGAGGCCATGTTTTTGTTTGGCATGGCACCGCTTACTCTTTTTCAACCTGCACCTATATCAGCTAGTAATGCCCGTTGGGGTGGGGGGAGGCGATGGTTAGGCATGCGCAGCACCTGACCTAGCCATCTCAATCTACATAACTTTATAGCCTCGTCGATTGATTTCCCCCCTTTGTCCAACACTCTACGCCTAACGTCAACATTACTTACTTTACTATACCACCTAACGTGAGAAAGAGATCGTAGACATCTATGATGAAAAACAGACAACCTTTTCATGTCTTCAACTCGTATTGGCCATGTGTCAGAGCCATAGGGAAGGACGGAGCAAACTGCTGAGCAGTACACACGTCCCTGGACTACGTGAGGCGTGGTTGGCGAGCATTCTACCACTGTGCCACCGACGCATAATAATTATATTCACTTTCAAAGAAGCAAGCAAAGCAAGTTATGTGGACATACGCTCACACATACACACACATACAAACTCACTCACCTTGAAATCCAGTTTTATCAGGTATTCCAAACAATGAAGAAATCAATGAATACTTCAATAAACCATCTTTCATAAAACAATCTTTCTCTGTTGAAGTTTTACATTGAATTCGAGGTGTAGAACAAGAAGACGAAGAAGAAGGTAAAGGCGACAATGATGAATCATTGGTTTGACTACTATTCCCTGCATTAGTGGTAGTAGTAGTACTAGTAGTCACTGTTGTTGTTGTTGTTGCTGGTGGTGGTGGTGTTGTGTCAGCAGTGCTTGGTGAATCATTCAAATTTGTACACTTCTCACCACGTATCATCTGTTGTCTAGACAGTAGTTGTTGTCCATCTGTACCATCATAATAGACTATGGCAATTTCAGCCCATTCATTTTGAAATACACATGTCCACTTAGAAGAATCATTTGATAATTTTGGTATATAACCTTTAGGAAATGATGAAGGTTGTAGGCTTAAATCGATATTGGATTGATTAGCAAATGAATTATTATTGATTGATGTTAGATTGGAGACAGTTGGATTAAGTAGTGTAGAAGATACGATACTAGCGGTACTAGCACTAGTACTACTACTATTACTACTGTTGTTAGTAGTAGTGGTAGTAGTAGTTACTGGAGTATTCGTGGTATTAATATTAGCTGTTGTTGTTGTTGCTGTTGTCGATGTTGTTGTTATTGTTGATATTGTTGACAGAGAACCACCAGTATTACTGCTGAGAGCAACACTACAACTATGCGTACTAGTAGAAGTACTACAACATGCCATTGTATTCGTTGCAGTAACACTACCAACAAAAGAATTCACATTCGTAGTAGGTGTTGTTGAATTGGCTGTAGAAAAAGACAAAAAACAACAAGAAAACAAATCAAAACAAAACAAGAAAGTGACAGTGATAAATCCTTGTAGTCGCGGTTGTAACTTTGACTCCTTTGCATTCCCATTGGAACACACAGGGCTTTAAGTTTGAGTTATGAAGTACAATATAAGTACCGCACCTTACGCCCAACCTTATCTCTCTACCAGGCTTACTCCCGGTTAAGTGAGGTTTAGAAATTCGTCAGCTGGGGATCCAGCCCCAAACCACATGGATGGTTAAGGGAGGGGAGGGGGGCAATTCCACTAGGCAACTTGAGGCACAAAAGCTTACAGGTGTGACTTTTTAATGTGGTTTTGTTCTCTGAGCTAGCTAGCTGGATGGTTTATTTTACGAAGCTTTCATTGCCCCATACCCCTCCTACTAGGAGCACATCTTCAGTGCGCATACTTCAATTTGAATTGAAGTGCGTTTTTAGATTTCTCCATGAGTTTAATAGTCATCTCTCTTGCTGGGTGACCTAGAACGTGACTCTGGTTGTTTTCGTATGTTTTCACACTCTCTAGGCTATACTTGTATTGGCATTGGTGTTGATTATTTCCTTGACTTGAAATTTCACCCTTTGTGTGTGAGGTTTCCTTCTTAAGGGTTGGTAAATTTTGTCTATGTCGATGTGTCTATTGATTGATGACTCAATGAAATACCAGGCTTCTACACTAGCGTTGAAAATCCAAATTCCGTTCTTTGCCCTCAGTACAGCAGATTTCCAGACTGATGGAGATCTATGTTGCCTTTCTAATTCTCGCTTTGAATCCTGTATCCGTGCCTCGTGTAGTAGTTGTGCTGATGCCAACTAGAGAACTTAGAGGGAAGTGACTTCATTTTGATTTCTCCCGTTCATACTGATTGGTCATTCAGTGTCTTCACCACATCTATTTCTTCTGTGTTCACTTGAAGTCCCAGCTTCGCTGCCCCCTGCCTCTCCTACCAACATTTTGGTTTTCAAGTTTGTGTGACATTATACATAATTCGTCCGCCTTGAAATCATCCATATCTTTTAGAGTCTAGATATGATGGGGAAGATTTGTAGCGCAGGTGGACGGTTTTGATGTGGTTATGTTCTCTGAGCTAGCTAGCTGGATGACGGTTTATTTGCGAAGCCTTCAATGCCTCCAATACTAGGCAACATCTTCAGTGCATACTTCAATTAGAATTGAAGTGAGCTTTTAGATTCATCCCCGAATTATTTGTCATCTCTCCTGGTGGGTGACCTTGAACGTGACTCTTTGGTTGCCTTTGTGTGTTTTCACATCCTTGAGGCTATACTTGTATTGGTGCTGGTGCTGATTGTTCATGTCTATTCGACTGGGACAACCAGTGTTCAAATATTAGACAGAGGAAACACCAAGGATGATAGAGAATTTTTAGAAGCCAGCCTGGTATTCCAGTGAATCGTCAATCAATAGACACATCGAGATAGACAAAATTTACCAGCCGTTAAGAAGGAAATCTCACACACAAAGGGTAAAAGTTCAGGTCAAGGAAACAATCAACACCAATACCAATACAAGTATAGCCTAGAGGATGTGAAAACACACAAAAACAACCAAAGAGTCACGTTCAAGGTCACCAACCAGAAGAGATGACTAATAAACCCGCGGAGAAATCTAGAAGTTCACTTCAATTTAAATTGACGTTTGCACTGAAGATGTGCGCCTAGTAGGGGTATGGGGCAATGAAAGCTTCGCAAGTAAACCATCATCCAGCTAGCTCAGAGAACATAACCACATCAAAACCGTCCACCTGAGCTACAAACCTTCTCCATCATATTTAGAGGTGACTTTCTAATCCATGCAGAAGACTTCCAGCACATTTTCCCAATTAGCTTGAAAAAAATTCACTGTAATAACAAGTCACGTAGGTCAGTGATAACTTTACAAACTTGTACGATAGTCATTTGATCAACACGTATCGAAACAGACGACCAGATATCATAGTTTCCTCTTCCACAAAGACTGCTACTTAGGTATAACTGAACCACTCCTCCTCTTACTGTTTGTCAACTCGTGTATTTTACCTGTTCTTCTTTACTGTTCACCCCTGCTTATTCTCTTCTGGATTGCTTGAGAAAGACTATGTCATGCTTCGTAGAACTATGAAGACTGTCAGTCAGTAGGGCGAGTGGTGGTATCCCGTTGGGCCATATCGTTGACATCGTCATTATTGATAGGCACTTGATGTCATGCGACAAATTTGCTAAAGGAATTTTGTCAGACTGTGAACATCCACCGCAGCACCCTCAGCTCCAACCTTTTGCCTCCTCCTCAGGTAAAACAAGAAGTCTTTTCAAAAGACTTTATGCACGTATGTCTAAGTATAAAAATTCAACTATAACATATTTGGCGGCACGTACTTTATGTGATGAAAATAGTGTCAGGCACGAAGTAACTAACTAACCTTCTCTGCACTAATAAGTAAACCATTTCCTCCACCCTTACAGTATCAAACTTTATTGTTATTGTATTTCTTATATTTATAATCCTCTCAATTTTTTGTTTTTATTTGTTTATTTTTGTTCATAAGTGTGGACGTAATTTAAGCCGTATTATAACTGTTAATTTTGTATTTCCCCTCACCATGCTGCTATATCAACAGAACATTAGATCCAATAATCTATAACATGCTAAAGTTTCCAAACAGAATCGACAGTACAGTTTGAAAAAAACTCACTGTTATTATTATTATTATATTCAATAATCTCAATTCGTGCTTCGAATATTTTTAATTTATATCGTTAATGTGGACAAATTCCTCTGGATAATTTTGTTCTAATTTTTAATTTTATTTATATTTTGAGTAAATCAGATGCAGTATTGTGACAAATAATGAGAATTCCATTCTGTATTATAAGTACTGTTTTTGGAATAAAGTAGATTATTATTATTAAAAAAGTATAAGGCTACACTTGTGTTGTAACGTATTCACTGGTACAAATTTGAAGCGTCAGAAATAAGTTTTATGAAGACTATATGCGTGTGGAAAAAAATTTTAAAAAAAGCGATTTCAAAAACTCCTCCTCACCTGAAAGACATGCATTCGATTGTACAGGTGTAACTGGTGCAGAATGAGTAATGCTCAACTCATTACTATCCGATGTAGACAGACTGATAGGTAGTTCATTCGATGCACAGCTACCTGACTGTTTTAAATCAGGTATAAGCAGAGTATAAAAGTATGTCCCATAGATGAAGGCATGTTTAGGATTTCCAGATGTATGACACAACCAACCAGCCTCTATTAATTGCTGTATAAGAAAAAAAAATTGTTTTCATTTAGAAAGGTTGAAGTTAAATGTAACGGAAAAAGTGTCTGGAAGATCCAACCACCCCCCCCTCTCCCCATGAATAATCTAATCATCCTATTTGTACTTATTTAGATGTTTCAAATAACTTTAGAATTTTTGCAATGTCTTTCCCAATGAGTTGCTGTCTCACTTTCAACCTACAGCACGCTACTGGTCACGACTTCCCACGAGAACCCCGGGTTAATTGCTTGGATAGGGTCAGTCGCTAGTGAGCATCTCATTAATATTCAAGTATTCGTTTTGTAGGGATTTTTTAGGTTGACTGGTTGGAGGATTTCATGATGAGCTGATATCAGTTAGAGAGCTATTGTAAAACCAACTACAGGGAGTACTGCACAGCCGTTTCCTCCGTCCTAGTTTGGGACTGCAACCAATCAAACAAAATTCCCTGCAAAACCGTTTCTTAAAAATCAATCTGATGCTCACTAGCGACTGGCCCTACTCAGGCAGTTAACCTGCAGTTCTAATGGGAAGCCGTGACTAGTAGGGTGCAGCAGGTTGAAGGTGAGGCAGTAACTCATCGATGAAGGCATTGCGAAAGTGGTCGCTCTATGTCGTGAATTACCAGAAGTTAGAATTCATGGACTACTGGCCATTGGATCAGTCGGATCCCAGTGGCTTAATGGTCTACGAGCTAGCTCGCTGGCCTTGTAAACAGAAGGTCCTGGGTTCGAACCCTGGTGGTAAGTGCGAACTGAGGAAGATTCCCTTGAGACTAGGACGAGGAAACAGCTGTCTAGCAGTACTCTCTGTGGCTGGTTTTCCAATGGTTTTCTAACTGATGTCAGCTCATGATGAAATTCTCCAACCAATCAAACCAACCCCCCCCCCCCACAAAACCAATACTTGAAAATAACTTTGGAATTGTTATCCATTCTCCTCCTAGACTGCATATCATTGTACTGATATTTGCATATCATGTATTAGTTGATTTGATCCTTATTAGTGTTTGTCTTTGTCCCTCATTGTTTAATCTCTCATTTTAGTGCTTCTCTTTGTGGTTGTGCGATTCACTAAACAGTATGTTTTGCAAAATATGTGATTTTGTTTGAGCCATGAATCAAAGTCACTCCTGACCTTGGACTGTCTGAGACACGAATTGTTGGTGTGTGATTCATGTGGACAGAGTGTTTGATCCAATCCTGTTGGAGATATTCTCCTTGATTTTAGGTACTAATTTTGTACTTAGACTGGACTGCATGGCTGCCTAATGGAAATGGTCGCGCTATGTCGTGAATTGGCAGAAGTTAAAATTCACGCACTGGCTGGCCATTGGATCGGGTCCCAGTGGCTCAATGGTCTACAAGCTCACCTTGTAACCAGAAGGTCCTGGGTTCGAGCCTTGGTAGAGGGTGCGTACTGATGAAGAGTCCTAAACTAAAACGAAACAGTTGTCCAGTACTCCCAGGTTTTCCAATGGTTCTCTAACTGATGTCAGCTCATGATGAAATCCTCCATGCAATCAAACAAAATCCCTACAAAACCAATGCCTAATGGAACTGTTGAGAACGTCACACAAAATCGTCTTTTTTCTATCTGTGAATTTTTCTATGACTGTGCGTTTCTCAAGAAAGTTTCGAACAGCTATACGATAGGACGTAGAGCTCGATTACCTGAACTTAGACAACAAAGAATCAATTTTGGTCGTAACAGTAAAACAGTGATTATTTGCAGGGAAGTTTACTGAGAATGAGACTAAACATCATCATTATTATGTCTTCAGTCCTACTTAGTAAGAAAAACGCCTGGGAAGTTTAAACGATGTTTACTACAAATGCAGTAAAGGTTTCAGTTATATTCACCGATTAGGTGATAAGGTTATTCCTTCACAGTTGAAGTATGTATCCAGCTAACTGTGTAATTTTATTAAGTGTTACAAGACACAGTCAGCAGAAAGCCATGGATGTAGGTTTTCTACATGTTGGGAGGTGTCGTCTCAATGGGAACACATCCAGATGATGGGTCTCGAACAGGACGAAATGCATATCCTGGATTCTATTATTAGTCACTATCCACCAACTAAATAACACCACCGCAACCCTCAGACATTGTCATCTGTAGCGTCTGTACTAGCAGCCAACATGTAAACAGAAGCCGAACATTTTGGTTCAATCAACCAAAAGGAAAAACAAAAAAGCGTCGGTGGCACAGCGTTTGTGAACGCTCACCGACGATGCACATGGTCCGGGGTTCGATCCCCAGCCGACGCACACCCGACATCAATAGTCAGCCTGCTACATTTGAGCTACCGATGTCACATGCTGAAAATTCGATACTTGTATCAAAAATACTGTGTGGAGTCAAGCTATAATAAAATATTTACAAAAAAAAGTAATATAATAAACGAAATAATTATTCAAGTATCTCCAATTGAGTATACTGAAAATACATTAGAGTATATTTTTCAAATAAAAAGCTATGAAGGGTCTCCATTCATTCCTATTCAGATAAGTACGTATTCCGTGCGAAGACAGGAATACACTGGACCAATAAGAAAACTCTAGAAGATCTGGATTTCGCAAGTGGATGATTTATGTTTAATGTCATAGGAATTGGAGGAGTTACAGGCGAAAACCAACGAACTGACTGAAGAAGCAGGCAGCGAAGAAAGGACTCCAAGTGAACATAGAGAAGATGGACGGAGGTAATGAAGACAACCAACCAACAGCAACAACAACCAGCACCAATCACCATCAACGGGAAAGATTTGACAGAGGTTACCTCCTTCACTTATCCAGCCAGGAAGCGCGGTTTCCAACACAGGCCGGTGGAACGGATGAAGATGTCAAGGCCAGCCAGAATCGGTAATGCAAGATACGACACCTTCATCAACCTGAAACCAGTTTGGAAATCTTCTGCACTGCACTCAGCCAGCATGTGGAACAAGATTCAAATATTCAACACCCATCTGAAATCAGTCAGTCAGTTCTTCTATATGAGTCAGAAACTTGACTAACTTGTCACGAAAAGGATTTTTTAACAACAGCTAACTTTGCTGGTTCCGCATTGAAGATCAAATGGCCATCTAGTGAGAAAAAATTAGCAACAAGAAACTCTGGATAGAGAAAAACAAACCAACCGAGCAAGAGCCGATTGCTCAATAAATATGTAGGAGAAAAATGGAGATGGATCGGGCACACGTTCAGGAGTTCGTCGAGTGACATCGCAAGCATTGCAGGCCATCGCTCAAGCGGAATCCCAATAGGAAGCGACGACCGAGGGTGACATGGAGGAGATCGTGTGAGTTGGAGAAGGAGGAGGAGATGATAGATTATGGGCAGTTGTGGGGTTAGCCAGCTGAAGAGACATCAGAAAATAGAACAAAGTGGAGATGTGTTGTTGAAGCCTTATGTTCTACTCAGAACCAAAGGAAATAATAATAATAAATAATAGTAATAATACATTGATAGATAATCCTACCTGTAGATAGATAACAGCCTGTTCAATTGTTCCAATATCAAGAAACCATTTAATCACCCAATTCACTGCATCAATAGATATAAATGTATAATCAGGAAAAGCATTTGTAGTTGATGCTAAAATAAACGGCAGACCATTTCTATGCACAAACACAGAAAGAGAGAGAAATGGAGAGAAAAAAAGAATTATTGTTAAACCAAAAGAAAAATTATCAGCGCTCCCTAAAAAGGATGTTTACATTATCCTCCACTGCTCAAGGGTGATCACATCATCGATCATCATTAAATAAAAACTCAGGATGGGATTTAATCGAACGCTTTGGCGTTTGAAACTATGGGCACTGGGTTAGAGCCTCGGTGGAGGGAACATCATCACTCACTGGGAAATGCAGGTACATCCAGTGGATAACGAGTCCCAAATAGGACGAAATGCGCGTTACCCTGGATTGAGTCACATAATTAAATTCGTTTAGACTTGTTTTATTCTTTCAAAAATTATTTGCCATTATTCTGAATCTACTTACCTTGGTAATCCAATTCACAACCAGGATTCAATTTACCTTGTGTTACTTTCACCTTCTGTCTACTCTTTTATCTAACCCCATATTCTTAAGTGATCATCTTTCTACCTCTTACTTGAAGTTTGACCACGGATTGATATTAGTTAGAGAACTATTGAAAATCAGCCACAGGGACAGACACGGACAGCTGTCTCGTCCTAATCTGGTACTCACCAGCAACACCCACCTACTGCCAGGGTCTAATCCAGGACATTCCTAGTACAAGTCAAGCTTGTAGACTATTCAGCCACTGGGACCTTAAATTTGACCTAAACACAATTCGATCAATAATTTATTCTCTCTTGCCTTTATAAATGTGTATGCCAAGCAGGTGTGTGTGTGTGTGATCAGAATTTTCGAAATCATTGCGCACAAACAGTACACATTCCAGATAAACTAAATCTTCTTATGTGTTTTGTCAAAATTCATGAACGACACTCATTGCTACAAGGCTACTGGTGCATTTGTACTGGCGAATTATCTTTGCAGTCAGTCATCTAGTTATTCCCATACTGAGATTATTGATTCTAACAAACAGTCAGCCCTACCTCAGTGTGAGAGAATAATATCAAGTAATCAGTTGGCTTGTCTTCGCTCAATACTCAAGATCAGATGGCCGGCTAGAACGAACCAACCAGGAACCGATTGTGCAACAAATAGACAGGAAGAAATGGAGATGGATTGACTGGCCATACTCTGAGGAAACCATCAAGTGACATCACTAAACAAGCCATTGCTCGAGTGGAAGCCGAAAGGGAAGCGGCGAGTTGGTCGTCAGTGTAAGGGTGACTTGGAGGAGGTCATGTGAAGAGGAGATGAAAACGTGTGGGCAGACCTGGAGCCAGGTGAAGACTCTATCAGAGAATCGAACGCAATGGAGACGCACGGCTGAAACCCTATGTTCCTCTAGGAATTAAAGGAAACAATAATAGTAATAATACTGCCACACCTTGTGAATACGGTGTACAAGATTGACAAAATTTCATCTGGTTTCAACCGGAAAAAAATGCATACACAACTTACTCATTATCAGCCATCATAAAGGCTACAATCGAGTAGGGTGTAGTGATTGAATTCAATGATGAACGTATATTTCCAGTTGACATATTACCAGAAGATGATGTTTGACTAGGTTGACTAGATTGATCCTCGGACGACTGATAAAATATACCAAGTAGATTAGGCAAAGATGTAGTCGATTGACAATCATCTATCGGGGGGACATTTGTCTGTACTGCTGTACCACCACCACCAGTAGGTTGAACAGTATTAGTACTGATGTTACTGTTTTTACTGTTACTACCCTCATTCGATGATTCATTGCATAATCCAATAATACTGGGTGATATAATTGTTGATGATCGTATTGTATGCGTTGAGGCAGCTGCTGTTGTAAGTGAACCAGTTTTGTTTAACTTTTGCGCACCAGTAGTAACACAGTATATAGGTGTAGTAGGCATAGATGAATCACTTAGCGTATTGGAACTAGGCAGATTACATGTGCTTGTACGATAAGCATCAGGTTTATCGGCAACCGACTGAAAAATAACAATAAAAAATAATAATAATATATTAGCTATTACTGTAGAGTTGTACTCATATTGACATTAATGTTTCGTAGGATTCCAAGTGGAACGTTTCATCATCCTGTCATCTACAGTACTACTTAGCTCCCAACCGATAACTGCTACCTTGCCGTGATGGTCGGGCTTGAATGCCGCAGTGACCCAACAAGCTAAACTGGCTGGGACTCATGTCCCTGCAGGTCCTACCATGTCAGGAAGGTTGTTTGGATAGCGGTTAAACTAAAAGCAGTTACCATGGGGTACATGGGCTCCAGAATTCTATCGGATCAAATGGCGTATGAACCCATATGGGTCACCGGCAACCATAGGAACGCAGCTCCTGACGCTGCTCCGCTGCCTTGCGGATTAGACTCCAACTCAAAGGCTCGGGGGGTGGTCCCCTGCTTCGGTCTGGGCGCCCGGTCAGTATCTCAGCCCTCACACAATATTGTGTGGCGCATCTTTCTTGGTGCCATATTGTACCAGGTTTTTCTGCGTTTAAATAAAATAATAAATAATAACTACTTAGCTGCCTCCACAGTTGCCTATAAGCCCTCATCTCCTCATTATAATGAAGCTTTTTTGTATTTCCCAGTGAATGAATGAAAAACAAAACGATACTCCTGTTTTTACTGATGCTTCGCTATTTAATGCTGCTGCTAATAGCTTTATCAAAGTATTATTAAACCGGAATTTACAAAATCTCAGCATATATACATAACAAAGAGTTAAGTGGTGAGAAAATAAACTACTTAGGTCAAGTTAAAAGGACACATTGAAAGTCAAAATAACAATGAAGATCACTAAACCAAATAACAAAGGTAATAGTACATCTGTTATGATATCACAACAAAGTTTACTAACTTGATCATCGTTCGTCAGTCTGGGGACATTTTTTGTTGTTGTCAAGTTGGTGAGTTGGTAGAGATAACAAAACCATCACGTGTAGATTGTGAAATACTTGATGTACCATTCATTACCTTTGATATTTGGTTTAGTGATCTTCATTGTTATTTTGACTTTCAATATATCCTTTTAACTTGACCTAAGTAGTTTATTTTCTCACCTCTTAACCCTTTGTTATATACACGCTGAGATTTTGTAAATTCCAGTTTAATAATACTACTTTGATAAAGCTATTAGCAGCAGCATTAAATAGCAAAACGTCAGTAAAAACGGTAATATCGTTTTGTTTTTCATTCATTGGGAAATACAAAAAACTTTATTATAATGAATATCATATACCCAATGCCCAAATTTTTTCAAACTCTTAAAAGTGAACTTGGTTTGGACATTTATAGCTCTCATCTCCTCCTCCACGTCACCCTCGGATACACGCCAAACTTGTCGTTTCCTAGTGTGATTCCACTCGAGAGTGTGCTAGGCGTATGATTTTACTCAAAGGTTTTCATTATGGGAAAAAATTATTTTGATAAAGTCTCACAGTGTTCGTTTTACATTAATGCTTACTGATGATACCACATTTCGAGCACAATTTATTACTGCTCATCGCCATCATATCAAGTTACTCACACACAAATTTCCATATTCGTTTATATAATTCCATTATTTTTCATCGCTTGACTTGATCGGTAGTGGTAATGTGGTGAGCGCTACTTATAATCCGATATAAGTAGTATATCAGAAACGAATTCAGAAAAGTAACAATATGTTTGGCACACTGGAAAGAGCAATCAAAGAAGAGAACCACGAGAAGAATGTTGCCATATGACGCAGAATCCAAGAAGTTATCGAATGTGACGATATTCGACCAATTCGTCAAGGATGTGGTAAATGATGTGCAAATGGCAGGTTGAGAATATGGCATACCAAATTTAGCTATGTACCATACGTTTCATCAAATAAACATTCCTTTCAGTCTCCTCAGTCTTTCTTCTTTACAGTAGTACTTTCCACATTTCCGGTAAAAGGGAGGAGTCATTCCGACTGCACGTGTTGGGTGTAGACTAGATGAACAAGGATTCAATAATCAACCTCTCTCTCTTTCCACCTACCTATATTACTTCTTAGAATTTTCACCCTCTCCCACCATGCTATTGTGTGATTGTGTGTTAATGCATGCAGTGCAATGTAGTGCTGAGCTTTTTTCTAAATTACTTATCTTGGCGGTTGGGGTCAACCATTCAAACCTACAAACTCACTCAGGTTGGATAAGCTCTGTAGGCTAAAAGACCCAGTCGGTTTACCCAATTAAACAAAATGATATAATTTAAAAAATACCCTGCAATGATTGTGAGTTAGGTCAACTACATAGGTCAAACTAGTAGATCGGGGGTAGTCAGATTGTCGGAACTTAAGAGTTTAGCTAAGGTAAGAATGATTGATCCCGCGAAGACAAGTAGTTTTAAAAAAATAGCTCAGCAATTGCACTGCATGCATTAACACACAACCACACAATAGCGTCAGTGGGAGAGGGTTAAAATTCTAAAAACTAATCTAGGTAGGTAGAGATAGAGGTGGATTACTAAATCCTTGTCCATCGAGTCGACACCCAACACGTGCAATAGGATGCAATGACTCAACAATCATACAGGAAATATGGAAAATACCGCTACTACTATCAATCAAATCAAGCGATGGAAAAGAATGATGGAATTATATAAACGAAGTTAGAAAGTTGTGTGAGTGAGTGAATGCCTCGATATGATTATGAGCAGTAGCAATAAATTGTGCTCGAAACGTGGTGGCATGAGTAAATATTACTACTGTATATCGAACAATGTGAGACTTTATCAAAATAAATTTTACCCATAATGGAATTATCCTCAATAACTCAAAGGTTTTCTTGGTGTATTTTCAATCCATCTCCAGTTGTTGTTTTTTTAGGATAATTGTTGGAAAAGATAGATTCCTTGCTAGTTATCCTTTCTAGACGACCATATGACATTTCTGACGTTGACGAAAGTCTGCGATAGGCTGTTTGAAATGCTTTTCGTGATGCACAGACGGTAAGTCTCTGAACTATATAGGAGAACTAGCTTGATTTCAGATTAGCAAATGTCTGTCTTGCTTTCACGATTCTGATTTTAACATACTCATCTGTATCGTCGTGTGTAGTAGTAGTAATTGAGAGGATGCTTCTCTTACAAGTAAGTTGAAACTGGTGCTGTTGAAGACATGAAAAGGTTGACTGTTTTTGATCATTGATGTCTACGATCTCTTTCTCACGTTAGGTGGTATAGTAATGTAAGTAATGTTGACGTTAGGCGTAGAGTGTTGGGCAAAGAGGGAAAATCAATCGAATTGGCTATAAAGTTACATAGATTGAGATGGCTAGGTCACGTGCTGCGCATGCCTAACCATCGCCTCCCCCACCCCGACGGGCATTACTAGCTAGCTGATATAGGTGTTATGGGTTGGAAAAGAGTAAGTGGTGGCCAAACAAAAACATGGCCTCATCAATCCATGAAATCCTTGACAGTTAAACTGAGTCAGGTAGGGAGATGCAGACTTCCGGGTTGGGGCCCGCTCTCGGGACTCTAAGAATCAATGGCTGGGGACAATAGGTGACATGGTTCAAAATCGTTGTCAATGGCTTACGCAGATGTATTCAGTCTCTTGTGTAATCTTTCATATTCCTTTCTACCATTGCTCATTCTGTTTCACTGTTATACTTGTCAAAACTCTATTGATTGTCTTCACTCATCTTGCTGTCTACCTTTATGTGCTATTTGGAACGTGGCAACTCGAACTGCTGCACTTCGGTGCCAAGTTTTATGTTGAATCCAGACAGACAGAAACTGGTACTTCACATTCCTTTGTGTTCTAGGTGGAACACAGTACAGCATCAAGCTGGAACTTTGAAATTCCAGTGGCATTAATGTCTTTTAATGGAGTAATGGGATTGCTAATCTCACGCACAACCTTCCAGCTTTACCGGTGAGTTTGCTACAGACGTCTAAGGGAGGTTTAAGAAATCTGGTGGGTGGTAACTAGCAGTGGAATCCAAGATAACGCGAGCATTCCATCCTATTTGTTTAGGATTTGTCAACTTAGCTGGATGTATCTGCATTCCCCAGTGAGTCATTGGTGGTGTTTCCCCCACTGAGGCTCGAACCAAGTACCCATCGTCTTTGATCATAGGTGCGTGCGTTCTATCTCCCGTTTGAAGTGGTATAATAAGGTGAACATTAATGAGGTGAGGCATCGGTCGAGTGTTAGGTAAGAAGGGGAAATCAATCGATGAGGCTGTGAAGTTACATCAATCAGGTGGTTAGTACATGTGTTACACATGCTAGCCTAGCCATCGCCTTCCTTGACAATGGGCAATGTTAGCTGACATAGGGTCAGGTTGGAAAAAAGCCAGTGGTGGTCAAACCAAAACATGGCTTCATCACTCAAGCCAGCCAGTGAAGTAGGAAGGTAGAGACTGACTGACTAGTTGGGGTTCTCGGGACGGTAAAAAGCAATGAAGGCTGGAGACAATCGGTGATGTGGCTCAAAATAGTTCTCAATGGCTGGCGCAGATGTATCCACTCCTTGTACCTTATAATTTCCAATGAAATTATATTGTTCTTCGATATTACTATTGTTTTTGCCTCATATGGCTGTTTACTGTCCCTATTTTGTATTTCTTTTTACTTTCTTCTCTTGCTTTGTGTGCTACAAGGCGAGTGTGTGGCGACTTGAACTACTGTACATCCGTGCAAAGTTCTATGTCGAAAACAGACAGATAGACAGACAGACAGACCCATCGTTTCAAAGGCCAAAGCGTTATCCAGTAGACCTGCTTGGGCCACGAGACCCCCTACATCTAGTGCAACAGGTATCAGTTGTAATTTAATTCAATTTGGACCTTCACGTAGATTGATTGGATCAAAGTGTTCGGCCTCGGTTGAGAAGTTCGTCGGCCGGGAATCGAACCCTAGACCATATGGATGGTTGACGAGTATTCTACTACCAACTGAACCACCGGTGCAACAGAAATGCAATATTAAATGTTATAAATTTGCCTGTAAACGCCACCAGGATTCATCTACACACATATAATAAACACATTTTAGATTCGCTACACTGTTGGTATAACTTCTTTTCACTTCCCCCAATTCTATTCTATTTGTTCTGTGTGGAATATACAAAACATGTAATAACGGGCGGATTATAAGGTATCCAAAAACATGGAAAGGCAAAGATAAGAAGTTGATTGATCTGACTGACATTCACTCGTCTTTACCACCCCACCACCACCACCCTCATCGCTCCCTCCATTCTTTTCTTCTCGCATCCGTGTGCTGTCAATCAGATTGTCAATCAGCAGCTTTCATTCAACTGATTAATTCGTCTCAGATTATTATGGAAATGTCCAGGGAAGTAGTGGAGAATGTTAAGAAAAAATAGTAAATAAGTGAGTGAGTGAGTAAGTAAGTAAATAAGTAGGTAGCTTAGGTAAGTAAGGGAAGTAAACAATGAAGGAATGAAGAACACATAAAAATCAAGTAAATAAACTTGTTGAACACCACTTCTCATACATGTCTCTAGTATGTCAAGTAGGTTATTAGATTTCTACAGATGATTTAATATTAGATTGTGTATGTATGTGCGTGAAAGGGTGTATGTGTTGAATCCACTTATAAGTATTCCTTCCAATTGGTTTTCTCTTGTAAATGTGTAAATATTAAATCCAGAGTTAGATTGGATATAAATAGCTCACGTAATACAACACCCCATTAATGGAGAACTAGTGTTTTTAAATTAGGCCATTTTTATTATAACTACTTACTCAACATTAAAGTTAGTAGTATATACTGCATTACACTATACATAGTCTCTCTCTCTCACCTCATCTTTTCCTCAAAATCACACGGTCTTTTTCCATTCTAACCTCAAGTGCATACCCAACTCATCGTTTCCCAATATTCACCTGCCACTCAAGTGATGGTTTGGCTCGCCATTTCACTCAACGGAGTGCATCTCCTCAGAGTGACGCACTCGTATACATCTCCGCTTTCTTTGAAATATTCATTAGTCAAAGGGTTCTTGATTGGTTCGTTCATAGAGTTTCTTATTGTTATTGTCATTCTCGCCAGCTGGTTATCTGATCTTCAGAAGGTCATGGGTTAGAACCCTGGCGTGGTGGGTACCTGCTGATGAAGAGTCCCAGACTGGGACAACAGAAACGGCTGTCCAGTACTCCCTCTGGCTGGTTTTCCAATGGTTCTCTAACCAATATCAGCTCATGATGAAATTCTATAACCAATCAATCAAATCCTTACAAACCAACACTTGAATATCGATGACACGCTCACTGGCGACTGGCCCAGGTAGGTAGTTACCTGGGGTTCTAGTGAGAAGTCATGACCAGTAGGGTGCAGCAAGTCGGGTGTGAGGACAAACATTCGTCGAAGACATTGGCTAGCGGTCGCGCTATGCTGTGAATTGGCAGAAGTTAGAATTCATGGGCCACTGGATCGGGTCCCAGTGGCTTAATGGTCTACCAGCTCGCTAGCCTTGTAACCAGAAGGTCCTGGATTCGAACCCTGTCGGTGGGTGCGTACTGCTGAAGAATCCCAAAGTGGGAAAACAGAAACAGCCATCCAGTACTTCCTGGTGGTTTTCCAATGGTTCTCTATATCAATGTCAGCTCATGATGAAATCCTGTCTTCGTTGGATGCTTCTCCAACCAGTTTGTTGCTTTTTGCCTGCCTGCCAGCAAGTCTTCGAGTTTGTGTGATGTTGAACATAAATCGTCCACCTCAAAGTTCAGATCTTCTAAAGTCTTCTTACTGGTCCAACTTAATCCCATCTTCTCATTCCCCACGCACCGTCTTCCGTATAATCCGGTCCATCACAGTTAGGAACATGATCGGTGATAAAAGGCAGGTAACCTCGTCTTCCACTTGCATTCACTACAATGGTTTCGTTGAGTTTTTCGTTGTGGGTCACTTAACAATGTCGTATAGACGGTTCATTGGTAGGATTCTCAAGTGATCCTGGTTGAATTCCCACAACTGATACATTCCACAACCTCAACAAGCCTGCAGTAGGACCGATGAAAATAGGCGAGATTGGGTTTGAAGCCGATAATCTCATTCCGTAAAATTTAAAAAAAACAGTATAGCTGCTGAGAAAGTAATCCACATCGGTGAAGCATCTGTGATCCACTGAATGAAACACTTGACCTTCGGCTCGAAAAACTCCAAAATCAAATTCTGTCACCGTTAATTCACTCTTTTAACCTCTTTTAGATATCAAATATTTTATAGTTACATTTCACCCATTAGGGGGAAACATTTTTCTGTTCCACTGAAGTTAGCAGTTATCGATAAACTCTGATATTTTCTATAGTTTGGTTTGTAAGGGTTAGTTATGTTTTTTACGAGTTAGAGAACCATTGAAAACCGGTTACAGGGAGTAGTGCCAGACAACTGTTTCATCCCACCAGTTTAGGAATCATCGGCAGTACGCACTCACCACCACGGTTCGAACCCAGGATCTTCCGGTTACAAGGCAAGCTGACTCGTATACCATTCAGCCACTGGGACCCGATTCTGACGTAGGCCCTCCTCTCGCAGATACATGTGAATTGGTATACATTGAAAGAACAGAGAGGAGGGCCTACATCAGATTCTGCGAACATGTACCAAGGAACTTGCGGTTAAAGGGACCGAATTGTTTAAGCTCTTCAATTGCCGCCAAACACCTAATTGACACAGGACACCGAATAGATGTGCTGGAATCATTCAAAATAATTAACAGACAAAAGTACCTGAAGTCTTCTCAATTTTGTTGAAGCCTGACTTATGTGTCCAAAAAGAATCCGTTGCTGGACTTCAATTACCCTGGTGACTCAATACTTCTTAGTAACTCTTTGTTTTCTAATTTTGTTAACTTATCTTTTCACTCGCCCCTCCCCCTTTATTTTTCGCTTGACTCTCTTGTGAGATAATTTTTCTTGATCTTCTGAGTTCTGCTCACTGTATTACATCATCAACTTCTCATCTGACTTCATGTGCACCGGAATTTTGATCTTCTCTTATCTAATTACGTAACTATTACTAATTTACTTCTGTTACCACCCCAACAACACAACTGTGAATTAATTTTTTTCAAGAAACTTTCTAACAATATATATATATGTCGTAACACTTTAGACACCTTGTAAATCGCAATGCCTTATATCACTATGACGCTCTGACAATATACTTGCTAATGGACAAAAGTTTGTTAAAATTGTACACCTTTTATTTTTGTTTTATTAAAGAATTCAGGTTGTACGCATCAGCTGCTGATGAGAACCGACAAAATAAAATGGATCCAGATTAATCTGCACGCCATTAATGTTTCTTCTTTCTTTGTTCAAATTTATAAAAAAGGGAATCATTGCATGTGAAGTTATCTCATGAACTGGGGATAAGCTGCTATCCATCTAGGATAGAGCTTTTTCTCATGCTCAGCAGAAACTTGCAAATCAGTAGGTTGAAGACTTATTTAATACTCCTCAGAGTAAAGAATACTATTAATCCGTGATCAACTCGTAAAACCTCTGATATGACGGCTACAACTTTAAACTAGGAGAATTCTAGTAACAGGTTCACAGACACACATACACACCCACAGTACTCCACACTTAAGACCTCCAGAAAGAGATGTCTGTGGATGACACAATAACTTATAAAACACGCACAAATGAAGTAAATAGTTAGTTTGCCAAGAATTTTAAAAAAACACGCACTAACCTGACGATTGATTTTTCGACTAGGTATAACTGTTCGACGAATACGATTCACTGATTCAATAAAGTGAACAAATCTCTCACAAGTTTTCTCCCGATTCATATTCGTATAATCCGATTCGAAAACGTCGCAAGGAATTCGTGAACCAGTTGTATTGCTGAGATTTATGAAGGAGAGGGAGGAAAGTGGATTTTAGGAATAGCTAAAATAATAATTTCTTTTTCTTTTGATATTAATATATGTGTGATACTTCGGCAGCACTGTAGTAGTAAGTAATTCCATATTAGTTTGTCTATTCAACACCTGTCCTAGATATCTGGAAAATCCTACTACCATTGATATAAGAATAAAGCTTGTGCAGTGTTGTAGAGTACAATTCTATTATGGGTAAAATTTATTTAATCATATCAATGATATGATTATGAGCAGTAGCAATAAATTGTGCTCGAAACGTGGTCATCAGTAAATATTACTACTGTATAACACTGTGAGACTTTATCAAAACAAATTTTACCCATACTGGAAAATACTACTACCCCGATGACGACAAATAAGGTGAGAACAAAGGAAACTATAAAAGTCAAGTTTCGAAGTCGTGTGATTATAATTGATGATCTGATTATGAACAATCAATAAATTGTGTTCGCAACTTTGTCATCCAGTGAATAATAATACTGTTTCACTGACTGTGTGACATCTCATAGAAAAACTGATATGGAATTCAATTCACTTATGAATTGGAAAGTCAGGAAAGGGAGCTTCTAATGTTAGATTGCAGCGTAAAACAGAAAGAAGATGGGAAGTTAAACACTAGTGTTTACAGAAAACCCACACACTCAAACAGATATTTGCACTTCCCATCATCCCATAGCATGTCAGTGAAAAGAGGATTGGTGCAATGTTTAAGTGACAGAGCACAAAAACTAAGTGATATCAAGAAAAATCTAAGACAGGAAGTGAGGCATATAAGAGAAGCCTTGAAACTAAATAATTACCCTGATAAATTAGTCAGGAAACATGTAAGGACACGTAAAAATAAAATGAACAATGACAGTAGTGATATTGATAATAATAATAATAATATTAATGACGATATGCATGTCAAACATGTGCAAGGTAATGACAACACTAACAATAAGGAATGTTAATCATCAGTAGTAGTCCCATACAAGGAATGAACCGCGGAAACCTTACGCTGAATTCTTAACAAGGTATTTAGGAGTAAAAATGGCTGGCATTCAAACACACTAACTCAATTAAAAACAAGCTTTGTCGGTTAAAAGAGCCTGTGGAGCCCATAAGACATAACCATTCAATTTATCTAAACCCCACCTGCAATGATTGTCAGGTCAAATACATGGGTCAGAGTAGTAGAACAGGAGCAGTCAGACTATCTGAGCATAAAAACCTAGCAAAATCTAGATTGGTTGACCCGAATAACATAAGAAATCTAGAGAATAGTTAAGCTATACCACTTACTACAGGCAGTTACACATAACACGGCCATACAGTTGGATGGGATAAGATGACAGTTTTAAAATCTAATGTAACAGGGTGAATGGAGGGAGAGATGGCTAACGGAAGCTTTGTTTATCGAATCAACTGCAAATACATGTAATAGGAATGATTCAACACCTGTCCAGTCGGAGATCTGGGAAATTCTACTATCCCAACGACGATAAATAGGAGAGAAGAAAGAAAACTATAAAACTGAAGTTTCGAAGTCGTGTGATTATAACTGATAATATGATTATGAACAATGGATAAATTTTGTTCGAAACTTTCACTGACTGTGTAATGTATCTAATGAACAAACTAATATGGAATTTTTTTCTTATGACTTAAAAACGGTAATATTTAGCAAACAAAGAATAATCTTTATCGATAACATCCTCTTCAGGTTCTATAATTATAATAGTTAAGTGATAACTGGTACGGCCGAAACTGACTCGTTGTAGTCTGAACTCAGGAAATTGATCTTTGCGTCCTATATTACTGTACAGCTGACAAAGCTTCCTTGGGAAAAATACTCCAAGAAGACAGCAAAATATATGAGTATTCTTCAACAATTCTGCGGTTCGATTCCACAACAACAAATAATAACATCAAAAACTCAAAATAAACCTGACAGTGGCGGCATTAGGCAGCTATACAGTCAAGCGTAGTGATGGAAAGTTCCACTTCCTCGACACTGCCCTGCAACGTCTAGAAGATGGTAGTCTTCAGAAGTCAATTTACCGAAAGCCTACTTGGAAAGGACAATACCTACATTTTAATAGTGTTTGTCCAAATAGCTTTAAACGTAGACTAGTCAAAACTCTATACTATAGAGCTAAGAGATTATGCTCTATAGAGAAATTACAGGAAGAATTTATGTTGAGTGGATGCATCTGCGCCAGCCATTGACAATACGATTTTGAGCCAGCCATATCACCAATTGTCTTCAGCCTACATTGGTTTTTACCGTCTCGAGGACTCCAACCAGTCAGACGGTCTACACCTTACTACATGGCTCGCTGTTTAAACTAACTGTAGATTTCATTGAGTGATGAATCCATGTTTTGGTTTGACCACCACTGGCTCTTTTCCAACCTCATCCATCCTATATCAGCTAACATTGCCCATTGTCGAGGAAGGCAATGGATGGCTAGGCATACGAAACACATGTCCTAATCATCTCAGTCGATGTAACTTCACAGCCTCGTCTATTGATTTCCCCTCTTTACCTAGAACTCGATCGATTCCTCACCTCAATATTGCTCACCTTATTATACCACTTAACACGGGAGATAGAACGCAGTCACCTATGATCAAAGACAGCTAGCCAGCCTTTTTACGTCTCCCACTTTCAATGACCATGCATCGCTCACAGCCATAAAGTAGGACGGAGCAGACTGCTGAGCAGTACACCCGCCCTTTGGTCGATAGCCAACTGGATATCACGTCTACGCCAGAGACGGCATAAACTGACACATGCGAAACGAGCCTCCTGTATCCGTGCTGAGATTTCGTCAGTGATCAAACCATTGCCGTTGGGGCTGATGCAACTTCCCAAATAACTGAAGTGATGGTCAACACGCTCCACCAACCACTTCACTCCCTATTTCTAAGCTAGGAGTCAATGTAGTCCGTCCAGTCCTACAGCATCATCTTACATTTGACTGACAGGAGTGGAGGAATCGCACACCAAACATTCGTAGATTGTAGCTCAAGCTGTTCAAAAGACTCTACATTTTGTCATAGCCTAGAACAGGAAACACATCATCTAAGAACTGAGTTAGTTCATTAGCTCTTGGATTGAAGGCAGCAACTAAAATCTATGCAGTATTATACCTACATTTCTGTTTATTTATTTATTTTTCCTTCACGTTCCCCAGTGGAACATAGGGCTTCAAGCTAGTGTGGCTTGAAGTTTCTGTAGCAGTGTTCATTTTACAGGATGGGGTTGCTAGCCTCATGCCCAACCTTTCCTCTTCGCCAGCATTATTTCTGGCTTGGCGAGGTAAAGGGGTGCGTCGGCGGGGGATCGAACCTCGGACCATGTACATGGTCGGTGAGCGTCCTAACCGCTATGCCACCGACGCACTACATTTCTGTTTATAACAACATATAATTAGCGATCGAAACGTGTAGCACCATCACCCCACACCGCCTATTTCCCAATTCACTTTTCATGACATAACATAAATTACCTAGGTCAAAAGTTTCAAGCAAACAAATACATACACACACAGTACGATAGATAAGATAAAGTAGACCCTCTTGTTCCTCTTTTTCTTCTTCTTAACAAAAAGAAACGGGGTTATCAGAAAATACCTTCAGTAAAATGGGAAAAGACCATCAAGATAACAGTGAATACTAATACTAACGCTAATAATAATAATAATAACATTTAAGCAGGACAAGATATGAAAGCACAAAATTCTTTTCTATACACTTTCTATTACACACTATTCAGTTGTAATATCCACAAGATAGACAGATATCTAAACCCCTTTGTGGATGGTATCTATAAATCCATGGAACAATGATCTCAATACTCTCTCTCTCTCTCCCTGTTTAAATGTCAAAGTGTCACTTACAAAAGGTAAAAAGGTAAGCAGGCAGGCAGGTAGGCCGGCAGACTAGCATTGCGATTTAAGTAGTAACGTGGAGATCATACAAAATATTCCACTTAACATTATATGTATCCTAATTATGATTGAAAACTGAAAATGGTTGTCTATGTGCAGAAAATGTTAGTTTCCTACTGGGTTTTTCATCGTCTTTTTTAAAGCTTTACAGAACTTTCATGCATTTCAGATGTAAAAACAAAATAAACGCTCATTATGATGTGTGCTTTTTATGCATTCTACGTTATAACCAGATATGCTCATCGACACTAACTAGGCTTCAAAAATTAAGCTCGAGAGAAGTTCCAGTAGCGATTGCGTCTTTTTTTCTCTATGAGATGAGGCTGCTGGCCTCACGCTTAACCTTCCCTCTCTACTGCGATACACGGGGTGGGGGGAGATTAATATCGGCTAAGCAAGCCGGTTTACCAATGTCTGAGGAGTGGTTGGCGGTGAACAAACTACTACTAGGGATTTGATTGGTTGCAAGTTTGATCGCGGATTGACATATTCGGTTAGATAACCATAGAAAAAGTCAGAAGGAGTATTGGACAGCTATTTCGTCCCACTAGTTAGGGATTCATTGGAAGTACGTACCCACCACCTCAGGGTTACAAGGCAAGCTCACTGAAGTTAGAATTCATGGGCTGACCATTGAGGAGTCAGGTCCCCGCGGTTGAATGGTTTACAAGTTTGCCTAGTACGCCAAGGGCCCTACGTTCGACTCTGGAGACGGGTGAGTAGTTCCGATGAGTCCCAAACTAGTGGGACGAAACAGCTGTCCAGTATTGATGCCACACAGCTTTCTTCTATTGCACGGAAAATATGTCTCACAAGTCTTGGAAAACTCCAGAAAAGGTTAAGGAAAAATTTTTAAAAAACAAACATTATTATTCTCAATGTAACACACTTACTCTCTGATGGCTTCAGTTAACCGTCTAGTTTCATTACTATAAATTGGTAATATGAAGAAACGACTTCGCCAAAATTTCAGATTCTAAAATAAAATAATAAAGAAAGGGTTAAACAGAAAATTGGTTAAAAGGTTTATGCGACAAACAACGTTAAAATGTTAGATTACAATATACTCTGACTATACTTCGGTGACATAGCGGTTAGGATGCTCGCCAACCATGCACATGGTCCGGGGTTCGATCCCCGGCCACTGACGCACTCCTTTACCTCGCTAAGCCAGAAATAATGCTGGTGAAGAGGAAAGGTTGGGCATGAGACTAGCAACCCCATCCTGTTAAATAAACACTGCTACAGAAACTTCAAGCCACTAGCTTGAAGCCCTATGTTCCATATATTAGCTATCCTTAGAAGTTTAACCACTGCACTGTAAGTAAGCCTAGTTAGATAAGGGAATAAAAGGATGATAGATAGATACACACCCCTGAGCAGTAAAGGTGAACCTCGTCACAATCTGATATACTCTCAACATCTTATAGCCTACTCTACATAGAGGTTACATCAACACTCTGTTTTGAAGTTAGTGAGGTGAACATATTTCCCAATGTTGACCAAAAAACACAATCTCAGTGGTGTTATATATAAACTGTTACCATCCCCACGACAACATTGCGATTAACAGTGTTTAATGTCTTTACTCTGGAGAGAATAAAAGATGCACTGGATACAGAACTCCACTAGCCCCACAGGAACAAGCTGGATTCAGGAAAGGTAAATCATGTACTGATCAAATTGTCATCACGGAATAATGCATGGAATGGCAGTCAAACCTGTCTCTACCTCAACTTCATCGACCTCGAATAGGTCTTCGACAGAAAGCGGTGACCGAGAAGTAATTTGGAAACTGCTTCAACACTACGGCGTGCAGTGCCCCAACTGTTTATCAACCTTATTCAACAGCTGGCTATACAACAGCACGACGTGTCAGGTAAGCCAAAACAGAAGACTCAGTGAGGCGTCCGAAGTGAATACAAGAGTGAGTGGTGGACTGGATTATGCGTCAGACTGTTTATGGGGAGTGAGAAGACAGGAATACGTTGGACCGCCGATAAGAAGACTATAGAAGATCTGGATTTCACGCATGGATGACTTTATGTTAAATGTGACACAAACTCGAAAACCAACAAACTGACTGAAGAAGCTGGCAGGCACTGGAGACAGGAGTTCAGGTGAACATAGAGAAGATAGACGGAGGTGATAAAGATAACCAACAGCTACAACAACAGCCAGCACCAATAACCATGAACGGGAGAGATTTGAAAGAGGTTATTCCTTCCTTCCTTCCTTCACTTATCTAGGCAGCTTACCTCTTTTCAGCCACAGGCAGCAGCACGGATGAAGACGTCACATCCATCCGGAATCGGAAAGGCAAGGTACGCCTTCACCAATCTGAAATCAGTTTGGAAATCTTCTGCCCCCCCCCTCGTCCACAGCATAAAGAACAAGATTAGGATTTTCAGCACAGATGCGAAGTCAGTCAGTAGTCAGTCCTTCTATATGGGTCAGAAATTTGCACTGCGTGTCAGTCACGAAAAGGATTTCCAACAAGTTATGCACTTTTATTAGCAACTGATCCTTCTATGGCTGCATACTGAAAAACAAATGACCAGTTGGCGAGAAAGCATTAGCAACAAGAAACTTCCATTCCCATTCGGATTCCACTAGAATAATGGCCTGCGTTGCGCGCGATATCAGTCGATGGCCTCCTCAAGGTAAGCCCAATCCATCTCTCTTTTCTCCTACATATTTGATGAACGATAGGTTCTTGACTGGTCCATTCCCAGAGTTTCTTGTCGCTAATTCTTTCTCACCAACTGGCTATTTGATCTTCAGTATGTAGCCAACGATAGCAGTGTTGATAAACGTCTGCAAATGGCCGGTTGGAAATGCTTTTAATGACACACTGGTCCTATAGAAGAACTGATCGAACACGGAAAAATCAGAATTGTGTTATTTATGCTTCGGTGGAGTTCAGAAGACATCCAAACTGATTTCAGAGTGATGCAGGTCTATTTTGCTACCTTTTATAGTTTGAAACGCCAAAGAATTACCCACTAAACCATTTAGGGCACGAGAGCCACTACGTGTGTAATGGATATCAGTTATTCATCAATTCAATTCGGACTTTCCTGTTGAGTGATTGGATCGAAGTGCTCGGTGTTCGAAACTGTGAGTACTGGGTTCGAATCTCAGCGGGAGAATACTGTGCGATGCAAATACATCCAGCCGGCTGATGATCACATTGGACGAATTCTTTCTTATATTCCACACCTATCTTTTGGTACAGGTATGTGATTTTCAGCATGTGATATCGGTAGTCCAAATTTTGCAGGCCGACCATAGATATCAGGTGTGCGTCGGCAGGGGCATGGTCGGCGAGAGTCCTAACCACTGTGCCACCGACGCACAAAATAAAGGGAGGACCGTGAGGCCTCCCCACTGGCAAAAAGTACACGCCCGAGCGCACCCGATTAGGGTCCGTCGCGAGTTTCAACCCACCGAGGTGCAATGGTAAGCGTTTACTCGGGGTCAGAGCATTCTTGATCACCCTGAACCCGGCGCCTCACTGCTAATCATTATCCACCAAATTATTTCATCAATCTGTTTATTTCATGCTTAGATAACACACACACACACTTAACGAATGAAACACGACACCATTTGCTGGAAACAATAAACACCACACCAAAAAACAGACTTCATGTAGTCAAGTGAGACTTTTGATGTATCAACTATGAGTAAAGGGTTCGAGTCTCAGCAGGAGAACACAATCACTCAATCACTGTGCGATGCAAATACATCTAGCCGTCTGATGAGTCACAATTGGGACGAAATTCGCATCTGAGACTCCAGTGCTAATCATCATCCACCAAATTATTTGATCAATCTGTTTATTTCATACTTAGATAACACACACACTTAAAGAATGAAACACGACACCATATGCAGGAAACAATAAACACGACACCACACCACATCACAATAAAAACAGACTTCATGCAGTCAAATGAGAGTTTTGATGTATGCAACACATAAGGCTAGGGTTTACACCCACACACACACACACGTGCAAGCACACATAAGCATGGAACCAAAGTAAAATCTAATTAATTGACAGGTTGTAAGCACCTTACAGCAAAGCAATGTAAAAGAAAAGAAAATGTTTATACACAGAAATGTCAACATGAGTATAAATCACTTTGCTAAGCTCTAGCACTGTCACATAAAATACATGATAGATAAATCATTAAGAGACATTGATTATTGTAGGTCAGTTTTACTGTATAATCAACAGAGAGATGTTACAGCAGAGTAGAGAGAGAAAGATATAGAAAGCTCATTTATAAGCCCTTGTGTTAACTGTCGCCGATGTTGTCCGGTACCCGTATTTTGTTTGGTCTCACCATTCGTTATTATTATTATTATTATTAATTATCACACCAACATGCTTGTAACATGAATAGGTTATTCATAATAATAACAATAATAATAATAATAGTATTCAAGAGTTGGTTTGTAAGGATTAGTCTTTGTTTTTACGAGTTTGACTACGCACGGATTGATATCAGTTAGAAAACCATTGAAAAACAGCAAGGAGTACTGGACAGCCAGCTGTTCTGTCCTAGTTTGGGAATCATTGGCAGTACGTACCCACCACCAGGGTTCGAACCCAGGACCTTTCGGTTACAAGGCAAGCTGACTCGTATACCGTTCAGCCACTGGGACCTTATCCAATGGTCAACACATGAATTCTAACTTCTAGCAATTCGTGATTCAGTGCGACCTTGACGAGGATCAGCAGTTTTCGAATGTTTGGTATGCGATTCGCTCCTATGAAATTTAATGTGATGCTTATAGATAGGCAGAAGTGAAGTGGTAGAGAGTGTTGACCACTCATTTGGGAAGTTACATCAGCCCTAACAGGCCAATTGCTGACGGAATCTCAGCATGTGGATACAGAAGGGTAGTGGGGTATTTCTTGAGTAGACATGATATCCGGTTGGTTATTGATCAAAGGACGTGTGTACTGCTCAGCAGTTAGTGAGATATAGCCATTGAAAGTGGAAGACATGAAAAGTCTGGCTAGTTGTCTTTGATCATAGGTGTCTGCGTTCAATTTTCCGTGTCAGTTGGTATAATAGGATGAGTTATATTGAAGTAAAGCATCGATCGAATGTCAGGTAGGGAGAGAGAATCAATCGATGAGGTTGTGAAGTTACATCGATTAAGATGGGTGGGACATGTGTTACACATTCATGCCTAGTTATCGCTTTTGCTTGACAGGAGATGTTAGATGACATGAGATCAGATTGCAGAGAGGCTAATGATGGTCAAACCAAAACATGGAATAAGTCCATGAAATATTTGAGAAAAACAACAAATTGAGCAAAGAAGTATGCATTCCTTTTCAATTAGTTCCTCATCATCGCCTGGCTCTACACTAACATATATAATAGTCGATTTTTACATCAAAATATTTTACCAATCAAGTGGTTATTTTTGTTAATCAGTTTTAGGTATAAAGCGGGGGGGGGTGTGAAATTAAGAGATTAAACGTCATCAATACATACAACTAAATAGGTGTTAGTAAAAAGATATCTAAGTTTTAAAAGAGGGGTGAGAATTAATTAATTAATTTTCCCTCCCCTTGTAACTATCTTTTGACTTAGTTAATTTTTACAATCCTAGCTAGTTCTATTAACTCCAGCATGGATAAGATTTTATTATGATAAATCATAGGTGACATCTGGGACCCTACGTAGGATTCTTAATAAAGCAGGAATTAGGGTGGCAAACCTACAAACTTACTCAGGTAGGACAAGCTCTGTAGGCTAAAGGACCCAGTCGGTGACCCAATTCGACAAAATAATATAATTTACAAAATACCCTGCAATCACTGTGAGAGACGTTAACTACATAGGTCGGACTAGTAGGTTGGGGGTAGTCAGAATGTCAGAACATAAGAATTTAGCTAAGGTAAGACTGGTTGACCCCGAGAAGATAGGTAATTTAGAAAAAGGCTCA